CGATTGATGTTCCGCCCGGCCGGCCGGTTTACGGGACGAAGAACCGACCTCTTGTGAACGTTTCACGGCATTCGCCTCACCAGCATTGGTGTAATCCGTGACCCTTCGGAGGGCCTCCTCGTATGTGGTCGGGGGTGAAGGATGAAATCCTGGTATAGATACCCCGCCCGGAGGGAGATGTGAAGCATGTGGGTGGCGGTCGCATCATCCATGGGTTCGACCTCCCCGACCGCTGCTTTCCATTTGATGAGGAAGTCGGTCAAGCTTTCCCCTTCGAGCTGCTTGGCCTTCTCGAGGTACATGTAAGACTTCCTCACCACTTTGGAAGTAATGAACTTCCGTACAAACTTGATCGCCAGGGTCTCAAATTTGTCGATCGACCCCGGGGGCAAGGTGCGGAACCACTCTGCTGCCCGACCGGTGAGGGTTGAGTAGAAGGCCCTGCACATCACGGCGTCTGAAACGCCCTTCAACATCATGTTGCTGAAAAAATCATTCACGTGAGCCTCAGGATCTGTCCGACCGTCGTAACTCTTCTCTCCCGAGACCTTTAAGTCGAGCGGGTAAGGCTGAGCCATTACCGCTGCTGTGAAAGGCGTCTGGTGGAGGGTCGATCGGTCGGCCGGGGGTGCTGCAGGATATGCATTCCTTAGCTGCGCAACTTCCGCCTGGAGGTTGTAGAGCAACCCTCGGGTTTCGTTGAGCTCGGCGTTCTGAGCGGCTTGGGCTGTATCCCGAGCGCGTCGACGTCGATGCGATCTCGACCCGCTGTACCCGGACGAGGCCTCGTGGCTAGCTTCCCGCATTTGTTCGTCCTCTTGCCTGGGGTTCGGGTCCTGGGGTCCCAGACGCTGGCGCATCTCTGGTCGGAGGCGGTCGAAAGCTACCGCTCGGGCAACCTCTTCCGGGTCCTCCGCTTGAACGGCCTGAACTGGTGCCTCCATCGCATCAGCACCCCCCGACCCCAACCGCGAATGAGCCGAGCGTCGAGCCCGGGAAGTGGACTGACGCTGCGGCTCTACTTGTGCGGTCGGCTGTACTGGAGGGGCGGCGGCTGGAGCTGTATAGGCAGGCGTATATGGTGGATAGCCAACCGGGGAAGTGTAGCACATCGGTTGGCCTGGCCAAAACCCGTATGGTGGAGGTGGAACCGGATACGGGTACTGGGCGGGATACATCATCGGCTGCTGCTGGTATGGCAGACCGGGCGGTGGGTATCCCGGCTGTATGTAATTCACCGGCTGCTGGGCGGCCGGGTACGTATTTGACGGATGTGGCGGTGAAAGGTTGAGGTTGAGGTCCATCGTCTGACCCTGCTGTTGGGTAGCGTAGTGGTCGGAGGAGCTCGCCGCATCCGCCTGGTCGTCGGCGAAGTTGTTGTGTGCCCACGGGTACATGTTGGAAAAGAGACCGGGTGCTCGTCCAGACGTTGGCTCGTTGCACGGGTCCCCACAGACGGCGCCAAAATGATACTGCTAATTCTACGTAAGCAATATAAATAACACAAGACCAAGTAAAGCAAGTAATTCTTTATTGATCAAGGTAGAGTTCCTAAGTACAATCTACTTGGTTGCCCTGAGTACCGACTGACTGCGGTCGGGAGTCTCTAGTTACAACCTATCGATCGTCCAAAAGTCCCCTACACTGCAGCTACTGTGGGTACTTATAGCCGCGACGCCGGAGACAAGCTTCTGGCCGTTCGGCATGCTCTCCACGTAGCCTCCACGCGTCCCCCTCCCGGGTGCCCTGCCTGTCGTCGTAGAAAGCCGCCACGTGTCTTTAGCCAGCTCTCTCGCCTAAGGACCACCGCTCGGGGTTCATAGCATCGCTCGGGCAACTCCCGGTCGGACCCCGACCGGGTTCTCCTCAAGGAGCCCGACCTGTTACCTGCAAAGACATAGACAAAAGGACAAAGGCATCTCGGTCGTGGTGAAGCTGTGTCGGTCGGGATATTCCCTACCAATATGTATATATAGTACATTATTTATATAAATATTATAAAACAGATTATGTAAATAGAAGTTGTGACAGACAAGGTGGTAGCTAACGTGTATGAATTTTAGAATGACTTGGATTCGAGTCTTTGCATTGACAATGTCACAGTCTTCTTCACTTTTTTTATTAACACAATTAAATTTTGGCATAATATATATAACTTCCATTATAACTTTCTTTATATTAATAATGAAATGTGTAATTTATAATGTGTTTTATATTCGAATTGTTTTATCAAATTAATTATGTTTCATATTTTGTTATATATATTTTTATAAAGTTTTAATATGTTTTATTTTTCGCTATATCCAACAATATTTATTGTTATACTTTTTAAGTATTTCATTTTTTTTAAACTTTCTCTTTTATTTTAATTTTTTTCCCTCACTAAAAAAATTTTCTGAATCCGCCATTGAATCCATCCTTACTTCTTTGCCCCCCCTCAACATATTTTCTGGCTCCGTCCCTGGTTATCCCCAAAAACTTAAATCAATGACTTCCTATTTAGAAAAATCACTTCATGCCGCTAGATAAATGTGTATAATTTAATGCCGAAGATGTGCACAGTTAATTTTAATTTTATTTATTTCTTGAATTGGTGTAATAAATTCGTCACTATAAATTCGTCACTATAGCCCAAGGATGTACATGGCATATTATGCTATGCATCCGTATGCACCCTGCATGGTGCATACGGATGCAAAAACGCGCGCCCTACTTAAAAAAAAAAATCAATTTCAATTCACAGTAACAATATTATGTTATGCATTTTTAGTTCGTTCATTTTAAATTTTTTAGTTATGAAATTCTGGAAGTGTAGTATGCAATTATGGATGTGTAGTTATGTAATTCTGGAATTGTAGTTATGCAATTCTGGAAGTGTAGTTATGAAATTATGGATGTATAATTATGCAATTTTGATTTTTTTTTTTAAATTAGACGTCAAAACGACGTCGTTTTTGCATCTGTATACACCATGCATGGTGCATACGGATGCATAGCATTACGCTCCTATTAAGACAATATTACATCTCATACCATATTGATGGGGTTATGGGCCACTGGGACTTTATTTTATTTGTTCTTGAGTAATTTTGGGCCAAGTCCAAAGGAAGGGAAGTGCAAGACAGGAGATGCAAAACAAGCCCAGAGGAATGGGGGTGCGGCAGGAGGTTGAGTGGTGCAAAGGAGGACCGGAGGATACTCGGGGCGCCAACTGCCACTGGGGGCGCGATGGCCGCTTGGGGCCGTAGCGCCCCTGGTGCTGATCGTGTCTTGGAATATATCTTAAAAGACAAAAATTCGTGTGAAATCATTGTTCGTAAGACAATACAGGTCAAAATAAAATGTAATACTAAATCAGAAATAAAAAAAATTTATTATCTATATATGAAAAATGTAATATGTAATACTTATTTTCAAAATAAAATACAATACTAAATCAGAAATAAAAAATTTATTATCTATATATGAAAAATGTAATATGTAATACTTATAAAAAGAATGTAATAAATCGATCAAATTCAAGATATCTTAATTGTTGAACATATAACCATTAATGTGTAATCCAATTATTAGCTTAGGTTTTTAGTTGAGATGGAGCACATGCTTCAATTTGGTATCAGAGCCCGATCAACCAACGGCTTTTAGTTCTTAATATCCTCACTTTATCAAATATTACACATGTTAAATATTTTGAATTAAATTTAATTAATTACAAAATTAAAAGTGAATAAATTTATAATTAAAGATCAACAAGTTTTTTTAGCCAGCAATCAAATGTTTCACTAATTAAGAGGGCATATTTATCCCCAATGAAATGACGCATTAATTTTAGATACTTTCACGAGAAAAAAAATTCCAACGATTTGTTTTTAAAAATCCTGAAAATGCAAATTTAAATTCTTAAATTAATAGAAATGGTTGTATTCTAATAGAATATATGATAAAGAAAGATCCTGCGCCACCAAATAAATAAAAAATGTTTTTAGTCGTTTATTATAACTAATAAAAAATAAAAAATGTTTTTAGTCATTTATTATAACTAATACAAAATTAATTAAATACATTATACTCTGATGACAGTATGTGAAGAGTCATAAGATCAAACATTAATGTTGGGATATTAACTTTTTAAAGTGCATTAGATAAAGAAAGTATAAAATATGAACTTTTTAAATTGCATTAGATAAAGAAATTATAGAATAAATACTAATAGAGTAAATAGTGCTAAAAAATTATGATATTTTTATAAATAAAAAATAAATTTATTATTTTATTTACAAAAATATACCATCTATATAGTACGTAAAATTCATGGATAAAAGAAAACTAGCAACATAAGAAAAGCAAGCTGGCGGCTGGTCGGGGCGAAATCGTAAATTATTATAATATCTTAGTCCACAAGTTATTACTTTAACTTTAATTTACATAGTGTTATGCGTAACCACACCTACTAAAACTACTCGCATAATCATATATACTTCTTCTGTCCTATTTTATGTGTCTGGTCTGGTTCAATTAACGAAACTTGAATAAAGTTATTTTTAATTCAATTTTTCATAATATTAAATTTAATATTAATACACATTTAGAAACTACACTAAAAGTATTATTAAACACACAAAATCGAATTTAAAAATAAATAAAAGATACTAAACAAAAAATAAATAAAAGATACTAAACAAAATAAACAAAGAAGAAAGAATTTGTTTGATCAATAAATAGTAAGTAGGACAGATAATATGACAGAATGAGTAATTTTTTTTTTTTCATTTTAGTAATTAATATATAGAAATAAAGATCGTCTCACATTAAAAAAGTGTACTAACATCTTAGTGGAGTCGATCTCAAACATGAAAAAGTCTCACACAAGATTTATATATAAATATCTTATATAAAATATCACACAAGACTTATATATAGACTGTCTTATGTAGGACAGTCCAACTAAAGACTTACTTACATATACACGTCACAAGACTTACTCGTATGTATAAGCTTAGTTAATACGACCATGGGGGAACTCGCACACCTGCGCCCATATCAATATTGATCTCTGTTCCGTCGGCGCAATGGAATCCATTGTTGTCCTTCGGAAACTCCGGCCATCCTCTATTCTGTTCCTCGTCTAGCAAGCTCGGCGCCGGCGTCTCCCACAGCAAATACTTGCCGTCGCGGTCCCGGAAAACGGAAGCTTCGTCCAACACCGAGCACTCCTCCGCGTACCACTCCTTCCCCTCCGACATTTCGCTGGTGGCGGTGGCGGAGGATCCGGGGGAGGACGACAGGTAGTGGTCGTCGCCGATGTTGAATCCGGCGCCGCCGGTGGAGCCGGGGGAGGAAGACGACAGCGAGGAAAAAGTGTCGTCGAGGAGGTTGAGCTTCGCGGACGGCCCGTATAGTCTCCGGGCCGCGTCGTCGTAGGCCCGGGCGGCCTCGAGGGAGGTGTTGAACGTTCCGAGCCAAACTCGGGCCCCGCGGTTGGGCTCGCGGATCTCGGCCACCCATTTGCCCCAGGTCCGCTGCCGGACTCCCCGGAAAGTACACAGCGCGTTTTCCGGGCCGCCCTTCCCCCTCATGCACCCTTTCCTCGAACGGCCCACGTTGGACTTCTTGACCGGCGGCGCGGTGTTTGCGGGTTTTCCGGTAACGGCGCCGCCTTCCTTGCCTATCGGAACTCGAACGTTAATCGTACTGTCTCCACTACTTTCTTCCATTGTTATGATATGATGTTTCAGGTGATATGATCGTGCATGAGTGTTAAGTTGCAGCGTTAATGTGAATGCTGATTTATAATGGAGGGGGAAATGACATGTGTGAAGTCTGAGACTCCTGTCCATATTACAACTGGAGAACTCCACCACGTGTCCTCACCTCCGCTTCCCAATTGTCTCCCGCTTACCGTCCTACGTTAATTGTCTTCACTTTCTTTGCTTTTGCTACATATATATCCATATGTATATATTATTGTATACACACACACACACACACACACACACACACACACATATATATATATATATATATATATATATATATATATATATATATATATATATATATATATATATACACACACACACACAAATTCAGCTTACTTAGCTCACTCCAAAAGAAACTAATTATGTCTCACAAAAACATTATTAGTCTATGTTAATAATCCTCAACTATATATCATTTGCCAAAATTTATATGAGAGTATGAGACACAGAGAAACTTCTATCAAAACTTGTTTAGATATGAAAGAGATACCTCAAGCGCTTTCACTATATGTGTGTACAAATAGTGTATATAATATTTTGATCTAAAACTCATTAACACGACATATTATATAAAAGTCAAATTTTTTATTATATTTTACAATTATATTACCAATTGACTTACCAACTACATGAATTTACTAGATTATAATTTGTAGTTTTTACTTCTATCAAAACCTCTTTAAAATATTAAAGAGATACCTCAAACACTTTCAATCCCTATTATATGTGTACAGATAGCCTAGACAATACCCTGATCGGAAACTCATTAATTAACACGACATATTATGAAAGTCAAAATTTTTATTTTACAGTTATATTAATAATTGACTTACCAACTACCTGAATTTACTACATTATAATTTTTTGTTTTTATTTCTATCAAAACCTCTCTGATACATGAAAGAGATACTTCAAGCACTTCCAATCCTTGTTATATGTGTACAGATAGCCTAGACAATACTCTGATCGGAAACTCATTAACATGACATATTAGAGTTTTTACCCATTTTGGTCCCTTGACTATGGCTCATTCTCAATTTTGCATTCCGACTAATAATTTAACCCAATGTGGTCCCTTGACTTTTGAAGATTTCCCCAAATCAGTCCTCCGTTACATTTTCCATCTTCTAAGCGTTAAGTAGGAGGGCATTTTAGTCCATTCAACCCCACCGCGCCTTCCCCAACTGCCGTTTCCCTCCTAAAATTCGCACAGTTTGCCCCTTTTATGCAATTAGCAAAAACCTTAAACCCTAGAATCTAAAATTCGCGAAATTGACGAAGGAGAATATCGACGAAGGAGAAGGAGACTACGACGACTCGCCGGAGGTCTGGATGGGGCGCCGGAGGTCTGGGAGTGCTACATTGCCAATATATGGTACGCAAACTTTTATTTATGGGTGCAGTGTTGCATTTTGAATTATTCCATGTGTTTTGCAAAGTTTACAGTAGTATTCCACCTTTACTATGTACTTTCAGTAGTGTATATGTGGTTACATTGTCTGAGTGTGAATGTGAGGCGTATATATGGTTGATTAAAGATGGGTTGTGGAGGGGACCATCAGACAGAATATATAGAAATATGTGTTTGTCTTTTTTGTTGGGTCAACTGTATAAATGTTTGCATAATAGGGTGCTGGGGGGGACCACTGGAGAGCAGTGTTTGGTCTCTGTTTGTAAAATATAGTGTGTGGGGACCATTGTGTTGATTTTTTGTTGTTGTTTATTGAACTGCAAGTCTTATCTATTGTATATGTGTTTTATAATCCATGTTTATAGTTTCTGTGTGTTATAATTTATTTTTGTAATCATTCAGATGACATTGATGAAAATAGATTTACACTTAAGCTCAAGCATGGTGGTAAAATATTAATGAGTGAGCCAGTAACATATGTGGGAGGTCATGTAGATTATTTTGACTACATGGATGTTGATGAATGGGGGTTTATGGCTTTACAAGACACAGTCATAGAGTTAGGCTACACAGTGAGTGAATGTAAGGTATATACTGTTGTGGGTGAAGGTTTAATTGAGGTCATTTCAGATAGTGAAGCCTGGGATTTAATTGATTTTAGTGATAAGGAAAGGGAAGTAGAAGTGTGGATCAACATTGGAGGGTTAAATTATGAAGCTGAGACTGATGTTGAAGTGGGAGAAGAATATGATTATGAAGCTCAGGTTGAGGTTGATGTTGGAGAAGATCCTGATTATGAAGCTCAGGGTGAGGTTGAAGTAGGAGAATATTCTGATTATGAAGCTCATGGTGAGGTTGAAGTGGAAGAAGATCCTGACTATGAAGATGATGGTGAAGAAGAATTGCGTAGTCTAGGTGAGGATGATATTCATTTTGAAAAAGCAGTAGATCCCAATGTAGAATACCATGGGTTAGGACCAACCACTACTGTGCCAGATGTGAAATCTGAAAATGATAAAATGAATATCCAAGTGAACTTTTCTGATGATGAGACACCTCATGGAAGTGATGAGGAAGTAGAGGATGACATTTGGCCAAAGTTTAGAAGTTGTGACATGGAGAACCCCACTTTCACTATTGGAATGACATTTGCAGAAAAAAAAGATTTTAAGGATGCCATAGTGAGTTATGCATTCAAAGAAGGGAAAGATATAAAGTTTGAAAAGAATGACAAGGTAAGATGTATTGTGAAGTGCAAGAAAATTGGTTGTCCATGGTCAATAACTCTGAGATGGATTAAGGATGTGAACTGCTGGAGGGTTACTTCATTCAATGACACTCATGATGGCTGCTCTTGGGTGTGGGAGAATTCATCTGTAAGGTCAAGCAGACTAGCTAAGAGGTGGAAAAAAGACATAGGCAGTAATTCAACATGGAGAGTCAGTGAGTTCAGGGAGAGAGTGGCTACTGATGACCACTTCCATATCACCTCTAAGGTTGCTTATAAGGCAATGACAATGGCTAGAGCTGATATTAATGGTGAGCTTGAACAGTATTTCAAAAAGTTTTGGAATTATTACTTGGAGATTGAAAGATCAAATCCAAGATCTCGTTCAATTGTGAAGATGAGTGAGACTGTAGAAGCAGGAGGAAAATCTAGATTTCTAAGATGGTATATATGTTGGGAGGCTTGTATGAAGGGTTTCCTACATTGCAGAAAGATTATAGGGGTTGATGGTTGCCATTTGAGATCAAAGTATGGTGGTTATTTGTTGACTGCAACTGCCATGGATCCCAATGATGGGATCTTCCCACTTGCCTATGCAATAGTTGAGGGTGAAAACAAGCAATCATGGACTTGGTTCTTAGCACTACTGAAGTTTGATTTGGGAATTGATGAGGCCCATGAACATGAATACACCTTCATTTCAGACAAGCAGAAGGGGCTGCTGCCTGCTTTTAGCTCAGAACTAGAAAATGTGGTGCATAGGTTCTGTGTTAGACACTTATATGCTAACATGAAGGTTGCTGGTTTTCATGGTAATGCACTGAAGAATGCACTATGGTCAGCAGCAAGAGCCACCACAGTAAACTCTTTTAAAGAGTCAATGAGGAAGATCAAAGACCTTGATATTGATGCTTTTGCTTGGTTGGGAGACAAACATCCATCTGAATGGTCCAGGTCACATTTTACTGGTTCTGCACTATGTGATATGTTAGTAAACAATGTCAGTGAGTGCTTCAATGCAATGATAGTTAAGGCTAGGGAAATGCCATTGATAAGCTGCCTTGAGATGCTTAGGACTATTCTGATGACAAGATTTTTTAAAAATAAAGAAGAGGCATCTGGGTGGACTTCAGTGATTTGTCCTAACATTGTTAAAAAGATTGCAGAAGAAGAGAAATATGCAGGAGGATATATACCCATACAGTGTGGGTTAAATCTATTTGAAGTCAAAAGACTGCATACAGGGGAGCAACACAAAGTAGATTTGGCCAGAAGAACATGCTCATGCAGAAAATGGGAATTGACTGGACTCCCTTGCAGACATGGCATTTGTGCAATCTGGATGAAGAGACACAATGTCCTAGACTATGTACATAACTGCTACAGTGTTGAAACATACTTGAAGGTGTATGAATTAGGCATTAATCCAATGGCTGGACCAAAAGAGTGGCCTCATTCTCATTTAGAACCACCCTTGCCACCTGAATACAAATCAAAACCTGGGAGGCCAAGGAAACTGAGGTTGAGAGGAGCTGATGAAGACAAGGGAAAAAAGAAAATCACAAATGATGGCGTCCATATGTCTAGAAGTCATGTGGTATTACATTGCACATTCTGTAAACAAAGAGGCCATAATAGTAGGAGATGCCCAATGAAACCTGTAAGTAAACTCTTACATTCTAGTTGTACTTGTAATTTTTCCCTTGTATTACATTAACCTGTAAGTTGTTACTGTTGTAGAGAAACCCTCAGCCACAAAGAAATCCTCAGGCACAAAGAAACCAGCCACAACGCAACAGAACAAATCAAGAAGCTAGAGTAGAAGTATTACATTACATTCTAGTTTTAGGTATAATTCTTTCCATGTATTACATTTGCTTATATTGTTTTATGTTTGTAGAGAAACCCTCAGCCACAAAGAAACCCTCAGCCACAAAGCAGCACTCAACCACAAAGCAGCAGAACAAATCAAGAAGCAAGAGCATATGAGGTTGATGTACCAGCAGCCATGTTTGATTTACCAACAGCCATGTTTGATGTAAGTGTTAAATTAGTAACATACCTTTCATACAAAATGCTTGTTTTACCTAACATGATTACTTTCATACAGATTCCTATTCAAGATGCAAGCTCAGAGTTAGTTCAACATGATTACCAAGTAGAGATTGAGGTTGAAGCACATGAAGAGATGCCATTACCTACTGTTCAAGAGGAAGTTACTCAACCTCAAGAGGAAGTTACTCAACCACAAGAACAACTTGTTACTCAACCACAAGAGCAAGTTGTTACTCAACCACAAGGGCAAGTTAGTACTGC